CCATTCTGTGATTCTATGATACATCTCAGTTCAGCTGTCCATCGAACAGCCCTGGGAAGCTTTGCAGGCTTGCCCCGTACTTTCTGCTTGTGCTTTGTTTTAGTACAGAGAGCGTGCCAGAAAGCTTGCTGAGGCCAGCATGCTGTTGTGCTAAGCTAAGGAGGCTTAAAAACTAGTAACACAGAGGTTTGATGTTCAGGTGCTTTTTTTTCCTCCACGATGTCAGAGAGCTCTTTCGCACTCATTCTCTGATATTCCTGAGCAGTATTACTAGCAATTTTCTTAGTTCCCACAGCCTGTAAGCAGATGCACAGGTCATGCTAAATTCTGGAATTTTATTCCTCTTCATGTTAGAGAGCGGTACAGAGGCCAAAGGCACTACACTAGCCCACAAGTAAACACGGGAAATGCCATTGAAGATGTCAGAGCAACTCAGCACTGTTACTGCCTGCTGGTGTGCTTTCATCCAAAGTATCCCTCTTGCAGCTGGGAACGCCCTACAGTGTTTGCATACCCTTCATGACACCAGGGCTGTTGGTGGATGCAGGCGTCAACCTAATTTGAGCCAGAGTAAAGTGGACAATGCAACAAATTGTGCTGGTTCCCTGGGTGTCTGTTGGATACAGGGGAGAAGATGCTGTTGATAAGCAGTTGTCTGTGCTAAAGCAGGAAGTGAGCAGGGTAGAAAACTTTGGTCCACGTGTGATACTGTCGCTACGAAGTCTCTGCTGACATCTACTGGCTTAGGGCTGCAGAGGTTTCGAGCACTAAGTATCAAAAGTAGGCTAAGAGCTGATTTTTTGACTAGTGATTTTGTTTGCTAGGAGAAGTTATTCTGTGCAGCCCTTGTGATGTGACATCAGCTGGGTAGCATGTGAGAATCTTCCTTGGTGCTTTTAGCAAAGCCTAGCTGTGAATGCTAAAAAGAGATGAGAACCATTGTGTGAGGTCCATCAGCTGGTTGTATAAAATCATCTGGAAGGACACTCCCTGTGCTCCTGAATGCAGGACATTGGATCAGCATGCTGTGCACTTGATACGTGTTCTGTGAGCCTGACTGGAGCTAGGAGTTTCATCTCTCAGAAATCCTTGCTTTTACAGTGTTTTGAGTGAGTTGGGACATCCAGGTAATCCCTAAATTAATGGTTTTGGAGTTGGTTTCTCAGGGTGAATGACATGGGTTGCCTGCTAGTGTTGTAGACATAGTGTATCCACTTTAAGAAGCAGCTCTTTAATTTACCTCAGTAAAGAAATTAATGTTTAAGTAGAAATGCTTGGGGTTAGCATAAGTATTTGCATATGATCACTGTTGTGAGTGAGTGAGTGCCTGAGGTGATTTTACTAGCAGGGAAGGGAGACTGGGTTTTGCTCTATGGTCTATGTCAGTGTTTGAGGAAGGAAATGAGGTCTAGACTGCAAAATAAATGTAGGAAGGCTGATACGTAGTAGAACTGAATCTTCAGGTACTGCAGAACCCTTCTGGTCCTTCAGGGACAAGATTGGAAAATTGTGGCAGGAATCGATGGCATAACATAAGTGTCTTGCTCCATGCAAGAACATTTATGTGCTTGCATAGATGTGCCTGTGCCAAGAGACTTCTGATGTGATCAGAGGAGCTGCACATCTCCTTTGGTTTTCTCCCATATTCTGTTCCTTAGTTCCTCTTTGGTCCGCTTGGTAGGCCTCTTGTTCTGCTTAGTGAGTTACAATACTTAATTTTCCTCGTGGTTATTCATTACCTTTTATGAATTTTCAGGGTTAGGATTTTTCACAACCAGACAGAGCCTCCCACTGATCCTCTGAATAAAAGTATGTGGTTAGCTGCCCTTCAGCTGCTAAATGCATGCACGTCTTCTTGAAACACACAATTTCATAGATGTGTAAAGATGAAAATGTTTTTTTACCATAGGTTTACCTGTTCCTTATCAAGGTGGTATTAATTTGCACAGCTCTCTGAATATAACCGCCAGGAGCAGCTGAAATGTTGAAATTCTTATGTTTCATCTCTACTGGCCTTATTAATCCTCATGAACTGAGTGTTTCAGTGACATGCTCTGCAGTATGGAAGCTGGATACTGATTTCTGGATTTTACAGATGTTGTTATGAAACAGTGTTTTATTTTGTTTCATTGCTGTATAGGAACTCATGGTATTGCTTTTGAAGGATCTAGAAGAGAAAAAAGAGCAAGAAGCTGGTAACAGAAGAAGGGTAGAGCAGGCTGCTAATGATCTGAAGGTAAAGCATTATTTGCTTCTCTACTGGATGGTCATTTCACAAGGAGAGACATTTTGCTTTCTCTGTAGCTACTCAAAGTCCCAGGCAACTGTGCTTCTCACAGGAAAGGAGTGTATTCCCTGTATCCATCACAACATATTACTTAGGGAAAAAGTTTCCAAAGGCCTGGCGCTCACTGCCTGATCAGCCATATGTCATTGGAAGAATAATGCTGAAATTATTGTGCAGAGGAATAGCAAATAGCCCCAACCACGTACATTATTTTGGCTTCACTGATGCATTGCATTGAATAGTCTGGCTTTAGAGTTACAAGAACAGCTTTATTGCTTCTGTCTTAAGAATGGGAATGTATGCTAAGCTCCACCTTCATTTATAGAGCATGAAATGGTTTCTGCTCTAAGGAGCATCTCTAAGCATCTCTGTTACAGCCATGTCAGTAAGAGCTGGAAGGAGCTCTGTAGAGGTTTGCATCACTGCAGTTTGATGTCACTTCATTTTGGAGGCTTTCTTTTCCTAGCAGCTCCCTGTCCCTAGCTTGCTTTAAAAGGAAGAAAAGTGTGGCTATTGAAAGACCAGGTCTGCTGCTTGTAACAGTTAGTACCTGACCCTGTTGCATTCCAGCTGAAAACATTGGTTTCTGGATAAATAAGCATCTTAGAATCTGCCCTCAAGCTTTTCCATCCAGGACGTCAGCAGGTAAATCCTGGCTACACTCCATTAAGGGGTAAACACCCATTTCTCAAGAGATGCAGCACATCAGTAAAATTCAACTGAAATGTAACATTGAAAGCCTGGGAGATAAATGCCTGAAATGCTTATGGTCTGTTGAATAGGCGGGACACACTTTTCTGCTTCATCTATAGGCACATTCCATTATGAGCAAAAGGCAGCTGTCAGACAGAGTTACTCAGCTCCAGTTACTACTTAGGGAAGAGGAAAGTCTGGCAAAAAACTTCATTGATGAAAAGACCCAGCAAGCCTTGGAAGCACATGATCAGCAGTTGGAATCCTGTCGAGAAAAGCTTGCAGCCCTGGAGACCTTCTCACATCAAATCAAACAAATACAACAACACAGTGATCCAGTTCAGTTACTGGAGGTGGTATTGTATGGTCTCTTTCTACTTCTTATCCTCATAATCCCTGGTAAACCGCTCTAGTGATCTCCTCTGTAGATCCTTCTGTGTGTAAACAGCATCTTCCTCACTTCTTTTTAATCTTCTTTTTGTTGGCATTTTGGTGAACCAGTTTGTTTCCTGATTTTTGAGCTGTTGAGTGTTTCTACTATTGCACTGATTTCAGATCTATATGAAAGTCATGTTAATTTTAAGCATACATGAAACAGAATTATACATGTCTCTTAATCTTGATGACAGTGTATAAGGTCTTTTCCTGTGCAGTGTAGTACAAAGGTCTGAGGAAAGGCAGCCCTCTTGGAAGATTAGGAGGAAGGCTAAATTGTCTAATTTCTTTAATCTCAAGAGATCCTAATCAACCTGAGCATCATTTTACTGGAGGGGGCACTGTTTTTCTCTTTGCTTACAGGTAAATGGTAGCCTCTCTTCCCTAATAATCTTTTTCACCTTCCTTGGGAGGGGAGTGTTGCCATGTGCTTATGCCCTACCACAAGCCAAAGGATATCATTCTTCATGGGAAGGCCTGTGGTGGATTTTTCATCCTTTCAAATTGGTGGACTTGAGAGTCTGCGTTGTTGTGAGTGATACGGCCCTGGCATTCTGTTGTGTGGATCTAATGAGATAATAGGTATGCTGAACACAGCAAGGCTTGCCTTTTATGCCCCATATATTTACCTGGTGATGAAGCTGTGCTTGCTCTGCGGTGTGTGTGTGATCTGGGAGGGAAAAGTCCATTCCTGACACTGACTCTACTAATTGGAGAATTTGGATTTCTGCCCTCAGAAGTACACAGAAATCAAGAAGGAAATGCAGGAGCCCAGGCACCTGTTAGAACAATGGCATCCAATACCTCTCTCGTTTGAGCACATACTTAACCATTATAAGCACTTTGTGACAGTTCTTCAGTCCATTCTACAGAAACCGCTAGAAGCCCGGCTTAAAGAAGGTACCTGTGAGAGTACTGTGAATTTTGCTTTCTCCTGCTCTCTTTTTAAATAAAGCGTGGTCTGGAAGTAAGAGCAGAGCTTTTGACCAAATCATCTGGAGAAAACAGCAGCTTTTCAGGCATGGGTACTGTTCTCTGACAATATTGGTGTAATATTGCTGTAGCAGTGGTGATTTAGGAACATAAGAGGTTTCTTTTTCAACTCTCAAGATGTCCTTTTGTGTCTTAAATTTTGTCTTGATGCTTTTTCCACCTCTATCAGATATTTCTGTACAGTTTACTTCAGCTCCTGCAGAGCTTATCTTGCTTATATCCCTAGGCCATCACACCTACACAACAAAGCTGTCCCCTCCTTTCAGTAACTTTTGGGTGTAACTGCTCTGGCAGGACATCTGGCAGGCATGGAACATTGTACCTGTAAAATTTGAAAGCTTCTAATTGAAGGACCTGGTAATCTTTCTGTCTTCGGCAGCATGTTGTGCTTCACGCTCCTTTTGTCTTTGAGCTGGTATTACATCCATAAGTGACCTTAGGCATAATTTAAAAAAGCAGTTTCCTAACAGGCGGAGCCACAAAGCCAAATAACCATGGGGAAACCCCGCTGCTTGTTGAGTTACAGGTGAGCAGGGCAACACCAGCCATCACATTTCACCTAGCTACTTTTTCGTAAACCCTTTTCTGAGAATTGCCACCAGGAACAGTGTAGCAGGGTGCTGGGGAAAATGGTAAGACCAGATCTGAAAGGCCACTGCAGGATGTGTGGAGAATTGCTAGACAGTACCATGCAGTTGTCTCCCACTGCCTGACTGTTGTCATCTGATAGAGGGGTGCTTTTTGAGGAATGTGAGGTGCTTACTTGGAGTTGTACTTGACTGTAGTTCCTTGGCCACACTGGGATCCAGCCTCTCCATGCTGTCCAAGGAGCATAAGGTCGAAAGCATACAGAGTAAGTAGCTCTTCCCCAGAAAAAGTAAGAGTTTGTCCCATTAAGTTGGAAAATGGAGTGTGAGAGTATGACCTTATCCAGGACATGGGTAGTATTCACTCCAAAGAGGCACAACCCAAATACCCTGTCGAGCAAATTGCCCGTGGTGTTTTATTTTTAAAATCTTCTTGACAGCACAGCCGTGTTCTTTCACTGGCAGACTCCTTAAACCATCCCTTTTCTTCTCTGCCTAGATGTTTTCAGTAGCCTTAATGCCACTGCAAAGAAAGAACCTGGAACATTGTTGAAAACCCAGTCTTCTGTTGATCGGTTGCTTTTCCTAAAACGTAAGTATGGTTGAACAAAAGTTAGAAGCACTCCAAACACTTAAAACTCAACTCAATCACTGGAAGAGTCACTGCGTGTGTGCTGCCACTATCTTAAAACTCTGTACTAAAGGGATTCTGTTATTTACAGCATTTGTGAGGTGTGAGGTGCTGCCTGAAAGTCATTACCCTTTTCTGTACCCCAGGTTGGGAAAGAAATTTTATTTTCTGGCTGTGAAATCTTGATCCTTTGCTTTTATTCAGAACTGCCAGTGTGTGAATCAGCTAGTGGCTAACTTAGTTTTTGAACTTCACTGTTCTCCAGATCATTGTGGTCTGTCTTTAATTATATGACTATCACGTAATGTGTAAAGGGACAGTCTGCAGGTTATCCTTTCCTCTGGTGTGTAAAGGAAAGTTGTACATTGAGCATCTCTCTGATGGGAAGCTAATGGACGTTTCCTGTGGCCTGCAGCAGATGAGGGCTGTAGCTGTAATCTCAAAGCTGTAACATTCCCTATTTCCGTGGAACCTAGTGGCAAGGGCCTGTTGTAGGAGAAGGTCTGTTTTCTGGCCTGGATCCAGCCCAGTGGAAGCCATGACTGCAGCCAGGTGGACACTTGACTTCTTGCTGTTACTCAACAAGGAGGGCAAGGGGCAGTGCTGTGCTGGTAGAGTAGGTTACATGCTGTCCCTGCACCTACAGGGTGGTGTGTTCCAAGAGGTGTGTTTTTCAGTGTTGGTACCTTGTCTTGTTTCTGTGCTCTCCTGAGTGAACTTCCTAAGTCTAAACAGTTCAACATTTTCATTCCAAACAGGTTGTCTCAACTGGAGATGAGCAAACAGATGCTGTATTTGTAAATACAGCAGGTGTTAAGAAATCAGGAATGCAACGAGCAGTGTGTCTGTCTTCCTGGCTGTGATGTCATGGGTCTTTTCCTACTTGCACCATTTCTTTGCTGCAGGATCCTGAGTGGGTCTGTTTGTAACCAGAACCTGTTAGAGTGCTAGGACGGCTAGTCCACGGCACTAAGCACTTGCTACTAACACTGCATGTACAGTGCTACTTGCATCTCCATTTTACTGCAGTATACAGTTGCAGATTCAGGGGGCAGAGCAAGCTCTCCAGCACTACATCAGCAACTCCCTCCACATCTTTGCCTCAAAGGAAACAACCACTTAATTTCTGGTACTCAGGTGTGTGCAGTGATCCTACCCAGATGAAGATGATGTGTTAGTTAGGCTCTATGTATAAAACAACCATTAATGGTGCATCACTGGTTCCTGTATTTTAAACATAGCTGATGTGAGGGACCACAGCAAGGCAAGGAGGTGTGGGATCCAGCTGCATCCTACGGTCATAACATATGTGTACTACTTTCTTTCTGAAACATTAGACAAGTATAGAGCGTAAGTCCTTGTTGAAATTAACTGTGCAATGAACAGACCCTCACCTAATGCAAGGTGTCTGGTCTCTCTTGTGGGCATTGTAATAGGCCATAGTGCTGGTGCTCTTTCACTGTGAATTGCTGGAGATCTTACTTAGCTTTCCCTGCTCATGGCAGGAAAATGTGGGAGAGTAACAGGGCCAGCAGAGAATGGAGTGCATTGCACAGTATTGTCAGAGAAAAAAAATCTCACCTTAAAAATCATGTAGCTTTTTCACCTATTCTGGGATTTTGTAATTTCAAATTTGTTTGATTATAGATTCTTTTCCCCTGGCTTTGTGATTTCTAGTCCTGCAATAGCTGCTGCATGGTAAAAATACTCTAAGCTGTTGATGAATAAAACAGTGAGATCTGGGGTGTAGTTTCAGACTTGTGATTTTTCTTTTCTAAATGTCAGGGTAGGCGAACTGCTATAAATCCTCTGTCAGCTATTAAGTTGTTCCTTTGCAATGTACATGCTGCTGCTGAGACCTTTGGTGCCTCTGTGAGAAACAGACTCCTAGTGCATCCTCAAATGGGATTTCAGTGGAATGGGATCTCACAACCCAAGAGTCTGCTCCAGTGCCTGCTAAACCCCTTAAACTGTAATCCCACCACAAGTCTCCAACTATTCCACATAAAGCAGAAGCTGTCAGTGTTCGTTCTCCACCTAGCTTTATTCATCTTCAGCATGGTGTGAACCATGCTTAGTCTTTTACTTACCATCGGTATATAAAAACAGTGCAGTGCTTTCTATTGAAACTGTGAGTTCTTTCCTTGCAAAACTGCAGGTTCCAAGACACCGCCAGCTGTGGGCTGCTTTGCAGGTTTCTTTAGAACTGGACTTCTTTCAAGAGTCATGATAAATGTAGTAAGTATTTTTATGGTTTTGCTGCAGATGCAAGATCACCAACCTGGGAATATGACACGCTTCACCCAAGGCTAAAACTGTCTGATGACCGTCTTGCAGTAAGCTGTAACTGGAGGAGGATATTTTACCCTTGTGGTCCCCAGCGATTTGATAAGTTATGGCAAGTGCTAAGCAGAGATGCATTCCTCTCTGGCAGCCATTACTGGGAAGTTGACCTGCTTCATGCTGGAGCAGGATGGTGGATTGGTGCAGCCTACCCTTCCATTGGCAGGAAAGGAGACTCTGAAACCTGTCGACTCGGCTGGAATAGAGCATCTTGGTGCCTTAAGAAGTTTGATGTTGAATACTGGGCATTTCACAAGGGAGAGAGAATCCCCATCATAATAGAAGATGATCCTGATCGCATTGGCATTTTTCTGGATTATGAAGCAGGAATCCTTTCATTCTACAATGTTACTGATGGCATGGCTCATTTACACACCTTCAACTGCAAGTTCACAGAACCAGTTTACCCAGCCTTGAGGCTCTGGGAAGGGTCCATTGCAATATGCAAACTAACATAAAGAATGAAGCAAAACAAAGCTTGCTATTTCATGCTTTTTCTATGAAAACCACCTTAGCAATGATATATATGAATTAATCTCTGTCATACAAAAGCTGTAACTGTGATACTTTTAGAAGGTAACAATTCAAGAAAACTGACTGTAATTTTTTAATGTATTTAAATGTATATGCATTTTTCAGTGGGGGAAGATGACCTGTCTTTTATAAATTATGTTGATGGACTGCCTAGAGTGCCATATATAATATTTTTTATATTTTTTTTCAGCTTGCAAAATGGAAAAAGGCTGGTTGAAAGAAATGGCCACAATGCAGAGACAATAGCTTGGTTTATAAGTGAAATTTACTTCTCAAGTTTGAAAAAAAAAACCCACAAACCCAAAACATTTAACAGTTGAGTAGTTTTTTTACTGCAGGGCAAGCATACTGCATCAGTCAGTGCTCACATACAATCAAGCACATGATTCAAAGATTCTCTGCTTCCCACTTTAAAGGTATGAATATGGTTTCCTCAGAAATGCGGAAAGGTAAATATTTGAAAGTAAACAGCACACAAGTACAGAAACACCACCACCAAATTCAAGATACTTCACCAACTCATAATCAAGAGCAAGTTCCAAATAACCATCACTAGTAAATGATTCCACCACCAAAAAATGCAAATTAATTATACTAAAAAGCACTTCTGTGTTAACCAAGATAACTGTGGGCTACCTGGTTTGCAGCTGCTGCCATAGGGCTCCTTCTTGGACAAAGGGAAGAGCAGCAGGCTGACAGGAGTGGGACTGCATTTCATACCTCAAAAGTGAGAAGCTGTGATGCAAGAGCAGAGCACACAAGAGGTGCACTGGCCAGCAAGTGATGTGATCTACTCAGGCAGCCAGCCTCAGTCATGTCAAAACATAAATGTCAGGATAAAAACCCAACCCAATGTATTCACTTCTTAGTACAAAAAGGAGGCCACTGAATCTTCCCCAGCATTTGGCTTCCCACCCAGGAAGCTGCCCCCAGGTACAAATAGAGGTATTCAAATGTACTACAGAACTGATTTAAGATTCCAGGCTTCACTCAGCTCACAACAGATGCTTCTGATGTTTTTTTTGAAGCATAGGTTAAGTTTTCTTTCCACTAAACCATCTCAGATCTATTTTTTCTCCCTTTAATCTGTGTGGCTTGCCTTTCCATTCACAAAAAGAACAAGGCCTTTTCTCTTGCCCCTTAAATGGGACCTTTCTACATATCCAGTTTGCTTCCTTTCTTGGTACTGTCTGTGACAACCTAGCTTTCCCAAGTTCATTGTCCCCCAAGTGCAGATTCTTGCAACTCACTGCTTTATCTTGAGACTTTTTATTTTAAGGCTTTTATCTTGAGAAAAATCCATCAGGGCTGGCTGCATGTGTAGTTTTCTGTTCACTGTATGTGAACTTTCACTTATCTGCATTCAGCTCCAACTAGCATCCTGTTATCACTGGGGTGGGGGAGATAGGAGAAAGGAGAGGAACATTGGAAGATACAGGACTAGAACAACTCAAAATGCAGACAAAATTACTGTTATTTAGCATATTCTTAGTAGAAAAGTGAAGCTGGAAAGCAGATTGTGGTCTTAGATTTGGCAAAAATCCAAATTAATCTAGGTTAAGT